CCGGAGAATTTAAGGGCGATGGACCAAGACGGAGGTCATATTTGGATTTACCGCCTAAAAATACATGAAAATTATCTGATCTCGACCGAGAGACACTTTTGTTATTATTTTTATACATGTCAAAATAGGGTGGAAAAATCTTCAGTCTTAAAAGCGCCAGAAATCACATTTGAAGTTAAGTTTCTCGGTCAGGATGTTACTATTTTGTTAAACTAAGATGTAAAATGAAATCAGCGACCCAAAAAACATAAGATCCAACACCTTTTATAACGGTGCAGTGCATTTTCGAATAAAGTTCCGTTAAATCCAGTCTATGGACCATAGTGCGCCGTGATACAACTATTCGCACTTGATGGATGTCCATGTTGCATACCCAAGAATTGAAGGCGTTTCTAATTTCTTCAAGCCAACCGCTTGCAGGAATGACGCGAAGACGCGAAGGTGCGATGTGTAAGTGACGCGCACCGTTCCCGTTGCGAGTGGTTAGTATTATACTACCCCCTATGCTATCCAGACGCAAGTTTAGCATTTACCCCTGATTTATTTGGAGGTTGCAAATTTTCAATCCGAAGATTTGGTCAATGTGACCCAAAGAAAAACAAACTGAAAAGTATCTTCCGCACGTCTAGGTTACTTTGTGCTCTACTACCCATATTAACACGAATGTCGGTTACTTTTTCTCATTGTGTAGAAGTTATATTTTTCCTTTGATTTTTTTGCCGTATAGATTACACTGGAAAAAAAATGAGCTTTTCGTGTGATTTTGCTAAAAATGGACAATTTAGCGTAGCCCCCCCCAAATTTTAGCGTACCCCAAAATCGTTTGACGTGCATAAGGAGACCATAGATATGGTGTTCTGTGCCAATTTTGAATGAAATCGAACAGATAGATTCTGAGATATCGCTGTAGACAGATTTTGGGGGGCGTCGGACGGACGGGCACACATTTTTTCAAGTATGTTTATTTTGACTCTTGGGACCTTAAAACGTCTAGAAATGATGAAATTTCAACTTTTTTTTTTTTTTTTTTTTTTTTTTTTCTTCTTCTCGGAGGATGACAATACTTCCTCTCTATCCTAGGAGAGCGAGAAAGTAAAAAGACGGGCAATATAGACATACCGTCTGTTCCAGGCTCAGAGGCCGAAAGTTCCGGGTGCTGGAACCATAGCTTCGATTGCACCGGGTGCCACACCCGATAGTTTCGGCCTCCAAGTCCGGAATGCGAACAGTATGTCTATATAGCCCGTAAGTATGGCCTGCAGGGCCGGAATTTTATTTTCAGTGTATTCAAATCAGACTCTCGCAAAATCGGAGACAACAGAGGTCGAGGAGGGGGCGTGCAAAATAAATAGCGGCCGCGGAGGGGCGGTTTTCAACAAATTTACAAGTGGAGAAAGGGGTCAGGCTCAAAATGGTTGGGCGGACTCGTGGCTCTCTGCGAGTGGACTCAGGATTAGGATAATTGCAGCTTATGAGTTGGCAGACGGGAGGATTCTGGCACCGGGGCCGGACCACAGAGAGAGGTCACGTGCATAAAGGACCGGCCCCGTGGTGGAGTGGAGGATACGAGGCGAAGAAATACTTTGCGGTTTATGGACGGACAACACTTAATTATTCCCGCCGTCCAACGGGTTCCACCGTCTTTTTTCACCGAGCCTCGCTTCGGACGTCCCCGTCGGAGTCTGTCGCGCCGAAGGAAAACGCCGTATGAACTTTCGGAAGTTGCCAAATCGTCGCTCCTTTGACGTAAGGGCGTATCTCGATTTCCACGTGAACCCTGTTGTCCGTATAACTCCATGCTCTCCAGGGCTCATGCCGAAATTGAGATACGCCCGTACGTCGGAGGAGCGACGAAATATCCGCCGATAAAATGTTTTCAGGGTGTCTACAAGTCCGGAAATAGTGCTGATTTTTTAAGGGCGGTCCGGAAGTACTGAGAAAGTGCGGAAATTGCGGGAAAAGGTCCGGAATATTTTTTAATTTTTTGTCATTTTTGTCGCAGTTTCAAATTTTTGAAATTTTCAGGCTATCGTCAAATGGAGGTACTGAAAAAGTGCGGAATTTTTCTGTTGGAGGAGGTACTGAATTCCTTGAGAATGTACTGAAAAAGTACTGTAAAAGTACTTATTTTTGACCAGCCTGTTTTCGTAGACCCCTGGTTTTTTCTCAAGGAAGTTATGAATATTTTCTCCTGAACTTTTCAGATATTGGAGCTGTTGCATATGTCAGGAATTTGCGATTGAAGCACGGATTCGTGTGTAAAATTTTGCGAGAAACATGATGGTGCCACCGGGTTTCTATGAAATCAACTTAGAAGCTCAAAAATTCCTCAAAGTTTAGGCCATTACGAAAGGGATATCCCACGCTACCCCGAGAGTCCATCTCCATATCAAGACAAATTCTCCATGCAAAGATGGGGAGCAAATACACTAACAGGGACAGGGTTGCTCGACCTTTGTTTGGAGACTCCAAAGCAGAAAACACGGTACCCTGCTAATGAATTTGCTAACCATCTTTGAATAGTGAGTTTGTCTTGATATAGCGGTGGACTCTCAGGGTAGCGTTGGATATCCCCTCCATTATGACCTCAATTTTGAGAGCTTTTTTTGAGCTTTGGAGTTGATTGAAAATAAGATCAGTGGCACCATCGTGTTTCTAGTGAAATTTTACATAAGAAACAGTCCCTAAATCGCAAATCCATTAGGTACGCATGCAAGAGCTCCAGTTAGATCTGAAGGCGAATGAAATTGGCTTTAAAATTAGAGGATAAGTACTCACAGATTTCCCTGAAAATTCGTATTTTGTCAAAGGAAATTTGGCAACGTCCGAAGGTCCATATGGCGTTCCTCCTCAGCGTGGCAGTATTTTGTCCGGAGTCCTGAGTCAAGTCGCGGTTTTCGCTCCAAGCTCCCATTTCTTATGCCCCAAGTTTCCAAGCTTCCCTGCCAACGTAGAAGAAGTATACAAATGGACGGATTTAACGAAACCCTGCCTAACTGCATTTCTTGCTGTCTAATTCCTCCTTACATTTATCTTTTTTTACACAGGAAGAAAAAGGAAGCAGCATTTTGCAAACAATTTCATGGCGGAACCTTTCTTTTTCTCTTGTTAAAAATAAAAAGCTAGAAGATACTATAGGCAACTATTGATGGAGTAATGCTACTTCTGGACAGTGCTCTTCCAATATGAGAGGATTTGTCATGTTATCCAAGAGGTTCCTTTTTAAAAAATTGATTGGTCAAGAAAACTCAGTCCGTAATGTTTGCACTGGAAAATTGCAGTATGTGCTATGAAAACCGAGTAATGACACTGCGCTCAAAATCTACAATTCAGTTATTTTGTTTTCAATCGGGCTTTCTGAATCTTGTTCATGGGATCATGACAATACGAAGCAACTTTGAAATCACTGAAAATCAATATTATTCAAATAGGCGCATAGAACTTAGTGACACAGTGATGACATGTTTGTTTTCATACACAGTCGCACACTGTAAATATTTATTCGCGGTTAACTGCATCGGGAACGTCACGCCCGTTGTAATTGCATGTCACTCCCTCAAATGCACCATGACGTCACACTTCCGGCTGGATTCCTCAGTATACCTACAAACTAACTCTGTTTTGCAGAAAAGTTGGTTGCATTTACCAACATTCCGTTCATTTTCTTATTTTCGCTCAATATTTACATTGATCTAGTCAAAACAAAATAAGATGCTTTTCAACAAGTCTGCGCGCTATTTTGCCACGCTCTCAGGTTTCCAAGAATCTTCAAACTATCAGAATTTTCAAATTGCAAAAGCCACGAAAGTTAGGAATGTTGTTTTCTTTGAAAAGATAAATGCGCAGATTGTTACGAGATGCCTTTAATCCCTCCGAAGTTGCGGGAAGTTTGAAGGCTCAGCTCGACGTATTCGTCAGCGTTCCGAAGTAACTGAAAGTCTTCTTCTCCCACTAATACCGGTCGTTGATATCTCTAAACAATGGGCTGACTATTGAAATTTAGTGTTCGTTAGTCGACGGGGCAAGACGAAGGTGTAATGAGGATATGTGATCGGCCGGTTTTGTTAGTCACCCTCTTTGTCCTGCATGTATCGATCAGAATGGAGACTTTGCACAAATGTTTTTTATTGCTGCATCCAAGAGTGCTTGATAAGCTGCGTTGACAGTATTTTTCATAATTTTTTTTGGATATGAGAAATTGTAGAAAAATATATTTGAAAGTGACAAAATCTGCCATCCTTGTGACAGATTCAGGCGGCATTTCCCATTTAAGCACTGCTCGTATTTCAGAAGATTAGGTAATTTGGTTATATCTTCTCTAATAATCGTTCATTTTAAAAACCAAGGATATTCTCTTCATGCTCCGATGTTTCAAATCGACGGTTTGGGGGATTTAACACAACATTTTGTTGAGCAACCAAGTCCTTTGCGCGTGTGTGATCTACAAATAAGGTCTAAAAAGACTCAAAATGTTATATGTAGATCTTTCGCCGTGACCTCAACTTAATATCCAATGCAAGCTGCTTGAGCTGAATCCTCTTCCCCTCACTGAAGAAAACAGTTCGGTAAATTATGGAACTACGATGTTGTTCGGCACACATAACCTAATTATTCGGTCTGTTCAACCGAATTGTTCGGTTTGTGCGACCAAACCATAATAAATTCTTACAGTTCGCTTCAGTGGACCGAACAGTTCGGCTGAGCAGACCGAATAATTCGGTCGTGTGTACCGAACAACATCGTGGTTCCATAATTTACCGAACTTTTTTTTCAGTGCTCAGTCTTGGTCTTGTACAGCTCAAAATTTTTGACTCAAATTGAATTTTTCGAACTTTTTAGCTCTGATTTCCCCGCAAAACGGCGTGGCCTCAGCACTGCTTCACCAGCTCGTTACTTACAGTTCGGTCCACGTTTCTTTTTCTTCGTGTTTTTTCTCGCTTGAAAAGGTGTTAAAGCTTACATGACAGTTGTGTGGTAAAATGTTTCGTTCTTTGTTGCAGCCCACCTGAAGCAGCAGCTGACGGACTACATGAAGCAGTACCCGAAAGTGCGAGTCGTGCGTGCCTCCAAGCGGGAGGGCCTAATCAGAGCAAGACTCCTGGGCGCCAGGTTCGCCAAGGGCCCCGTTCTCACTTACCTAGATTCTCACTGCGAGTGCGCCGAAGGTACGTCCCAATTACCCGCACGCTATGCACCTATCGCCGCCGACCCTCGATACATCGAATCCCGTCCCTCGCGGAAGATGTATATCGCGCCTCATCGCTCGATACCTCGAACCGTGCGCTTCCAAGCTCCACATTTACCGAGTTGCTAATTAATAATATGCTCCGCCGTCTTGGCCGCGCTGCGTCCGAAGAAAGCACCTAGCGTGGAAAGCATCCAGCCGATGCGTTCGCGCGATAAACCCGCTGCATTTCTTGCGGAAATATTATTTATTGAAATGTAGGATTGCTCTAAGCCCTTGAAACTCTCGTTCGGACCGCGCTCAGCCGAAAGGAACCAAGCCGCATCAGCTGTTGCCAAATTGCGGGCTGATTGTTGAAATTGAAGACAAAGCTATAGACAAAGAAGACATAGGGAGTATGGAGCGATCCTATTGGTCGGAATCGTTGGTTCTAGACTAATGGAGAAAGTGAGGCACTGATTATAGGGTCTCTCGCGGTTTGCCGTCAGTTAGTCTATTACCTTCCTCTTTCGTCCATTGTATATCCACCCATTTCCACCAGTAGGATCCCTCCCTACACCTGTTGTATCATTTGTCTATAGCTTTGTCTATCAATGTCAATAATCAGCCCACAGGGCAGTTTAATTTTTTACAAGAGAACGTTTGTGCTAATTCTTTTGAACATTTGCAGAAATTTGCTTCGTACTACACAGAAAGTTTTCTGAAATTTGCAAAAATATTCGCACTTTGACCGTTTTCACCTAACAGATTAAATTGCCCAGTTAAATTTGGCAGTAAATTAAGTGGCTTGGTTCCTTTTTACTTAACGTGGTCCATTTAAGGGGTTTAAAAGACAAAGCGCAACCTTATGGAGGGAAGGAAGTTCGAACTCACTTTTAAATGCTTAACAAGTGGATTTGAGTTTTAAATTTTTCAGGGAATATATTTTCAGACTAGTTTTAGTTAAAATTATTAATATCTCATTTTTCAAAAACTCCTTTTTGCGCCTCGTCCTCCAAGCCTCTCATTTTACCATACAGTATACGCTCACGTACCTATGCGTCGTTTAAGTAATTATCCCATTGCATGTTTCTGAGTTTTTAATATATTTTCCAAAAACATTGTCATAACGTCAAGTTTATTTAAAGTTAGTATATGCACATTAAGCGTTATCTATGATCATATGTATGAATATTCGGATCAAGGTGCTTTCATTTCATCTGCTTCTCGGGATCTAGTAAACTTTCGAAATATCCTAAGCGAGTTTGCTAATCATCCGAAATTCTCCTTAGTCGCAACCTAATCCCTCAATTGACATACATTTCGGATGTTTGGAATAAGAGAATGTGCTGAAGCTGCAAACCATATTATTGTATCAAAATGCGGAATGTAAGTATTTTTCTGCTTGTAGCGCCGCCGCATCACAGATGCAACATTTCATTAATCTTTATACCTAATATGACATTTCATGAATTTTGGTGAAACTTGGCGAACTTTTTTAAAACTTCTGGAATGCACAGGGTATGCCGTGAAACTTACAGAAACGGTAAAATCTTAATTTTGATTAAAAAATACCTTAATTGAGCCAAATTTCGAAGTTTCCTAAGGAATTCTCGGATAATTGGTTGGTGCAGGTTCCACACGCAGTCCCTGACAATCGTTGAAATTTTATGGAAAATGATATTTCATTTTGCATCTCTGAACCGCACGCGCCATCGTGCCATGCCTGAATGCACTCGAGACCTTTTTGACGAGGGAGACGGCACGTTATGAAAGAACGACTCTACGGCGGTGTATACAGCGTGATCCAAAAGTTCGCTCTGATAGCACCAGGTATTACCCTTGTAATTTTTGTACAATTTGAGATGGATACTTAACATTTTGTGAATGATCCTAGGTCATGGGTTTGACTTTTGGGAACCTCCAAAATTTCAAGAGGACCATCGTGAAAAAAGGCAAGTACTCTAAAGGCTGAAGCAGCGGTGCGCAGTGGTGATTTTGCACGTTGGCAAAATTGTTTTTCCTCTATTTAAATCTATGAAAAATATCGATTTTAGGTGAGGCCTGCCTCACCAAGAATAGGTTGTGTTACATACATTCAAATTGAGGAAAATCAGTGTGCCAGGGTGCAAAATCGCCACTGCGCTTCACCCCTGCAGCCTCAAGAGTTTTTGCCTTCTTACGGTGGTCCTCTTGGAATTTTGGAGGTTCCCTAAAGTCGAGCCCTTCACCTAGGATGGCTCACAAAATTTCAAGTCTCCATCTCAATTTGTACAAAAATTACAGGGGTAATACCCTGTGCTGTCAGAGCGGTACTTTCGGATCACGCTGTATACACCATCGTGGAGACTTGTGTTACGGGACTTTTTGATCATCCTGTACAGCCGCAGTCGTTGGACAGGCGCGTTTCGAATCCTCTCCGGCGGTTCCTTCCCTTTTTATTCGTAATTCGATAACTTTATGTCGAAGATGATGTAGTGCGCTGATGAGTTGATCAGCTGATGACTGATTGATGAGGAGCCGTCGCGCGCCGCTCGTTCCGCTTCCAAGCTCCTTCCGGCACTCGTGCGCTAGTTTTCGCTTTCCCCTCCCCGTCCACCCCGAAGCCCCCCCCCATCCCCCTCATTAATTATCATAATAATCGACACACGTTGTCTCGCCTCCAACGTGTCTCGACAGCCCGTCCGAGCGTCACCTAGTTTGCACCCCGCACATGTGTCGGGGTTGCCACAGTCAGGAATAACGGGAAAACTGGGAAATTTCAGGGAATTTTAAAAAGTCAGGGAAAACCTGGAAATGTCAGGGTTGTCAAAAATTGTCAGGTCATCTTTATTTGCTTCTTAGAATGCACTGGGAAAAAAAACACATTGGATCTAGAGTCCAGACTCTTGAAAACATTGACAAGAAAAAATACTCTTGATTCAATCAGATTTAAGCTTAAATCAAGAACCAAGCCTCTTAATTTGAGCGGATTTCCTTTTGATTTAAGCTTAAATCTGATTGAATCAAGAGTATTTTTTCTTGTCGATGTTTTTAAGAGTCTGGACTCTAGATCGAATGTGGTTTTTTTTTCCAGTGTGAGTTTGACGTTTCGATCAATAAGTTTTGCCTGAAACCTATTTCTATTTATGTCTTTTTAACTATATGGCATTTCTTCAATTGTTACGGAATTCCACCAAAATGTTTCAGAGAAATGTCAGGGAATTTCATTTTCTAAATTCTGTTGCAACCCTGATGTATTTGTAGGAATGGCTTGTCAATGATATCGGATTTTCTACTATTTTTGGTTGAAAAACACCCATGTGCGGTGAACTTTTCAATCATTAATCCGTTCTTGCGTCGCAGCGTTGGAATCCTTTAATTTACATGTACTTTAGTTCCCTCTCGTTGAATTTCAAGTTCAGTTATCTTACCTTTGTGCAGTTTTTCGCACCGAGGAAAAATTTCATTAAATTATCCCCCGACGAGGATTCACGTCGAGTCAACCAAAAATCTCTTTTAGGTGACAGGACGTCTCTTTGAAATAACAGGAATACTGTTTGAAATAAGGAGATTCCCTGTTAACCTAACGGGAATTCTCGTTCGGAAATTATTAATCGAAATTCTTTCTGATCAAACAGAAAATTATTCTCCGTGCGTTGCCTGAACAATTGCAATCCTTGCGATGACATGTTTTGAATTTGAATTCTAATAATATTATTTATCAACTACGGGTAATTCTTAACTAATCAACCTAGTATGCGTATTGCGTAATTTAGGTGGTTTGTATACAACACAGAATGAAGTAACATGTTGGTGATCGTATGATCTACGTTATCCTAATCGTTATTGCTCAGACACGGCGCGGCGCCACGCCACGCGGTGAGGCGATTGACTAAGGCTTAGCTGGTAATCCTCCTTAATGTCAAAATAACAAACGGGCCTTTCTCTCTATCTTCTTTAGTGTTAAGAGAACCATAAAATAGAATCCATTCACGTCTTATGTTTTCATTCATTTATTCCTCGCGTGAATTTAATGTGGAAAAATCTGATCGAGAATATCAAATGCTTCATATTTTTCGCTGTGCTTCAACGCGTTTATACAAACAGTGGAATTCCCTCGGGAAAAATCTCTTCTCAAAGCGACGATGAAAATTCTAACATTGGATTTTATTACTACTGCCAAGTTTTATAATTGTATGTACAGTTTGGTTCCATAATTCTTTTCTTTTATTTTGTCTACTTGTTAACTTATTTTTGTTGACCCGAGCATCCTCACTTTTGGTATTCAACACTTTGAACCCAACTTAACGGATGAGCCTTTTCTCTTTAGAGAGGAAAAAAAAATAAGTTGATCGCAAGTTAATTTCATGCGCCCATTTTCACATGTGACGTAATTGGGCATAGAATTGATTGCTGAAATATCTCAAAAACTATGAATTTAGCGATTATATGATGCCCTACCTGAAAACTTGAGGCCCAGCTGCCGAAGTTCGGGTCTTTCATCTGAAGCACTCTAAGTTTTAGGTGACAATAGAAGTTTCAACCCAAGCACCGAAGCACTTCAGATGCGTTACCTTAACTTCGGCAGCTGTACCTCAAATTCTCGGAAGATTTCAGAGATCCATGCGATCTGAACTTTCGATCCCAAGGAAAATATTTTTCTCTCCATACGTGCCTGATTTTTGTGTGTACACAATGAAGTAAGTGCGCACATGTCCAACTCGCCGCAAACACCTACTTTTTTTTGTCTATGTCTCTTATATATTAGTATCGACTGACCCATTCATGAAAGTTTGAGAGAGACC